GACTGGTTTGATTTTGTTTGTTTTTGAAGAATCCTTGACCAAAATGGTGTGGTGTACTTTCTGCTGGATCCCATCAGGAGACCAGTGACCAGTCAGTTCAGGAACTGTCAGTCAGGTCTGTCCATGATAAAGTCTCCATCAGACTTTTATAAAATGGTTGTAATGGTGACTGACAATTATTGCCAAGATGCATTGCTTCATTACGTGGTACAAAATCATGACAGTCGCGACAATTTATGACTTCTTTTTAAAAGCCTTATGGGCCAGGTGTGGCAGCTCATGCCTGTAATCCAGCACTTTGGGAGGCCAAGGTGAGTGGATCACCTGAGGTCAGGAGTTCGAGACCAACCTGGCCAACACGGCAAAACCCCGTCTCTACTTATAATACAAAAAATTAGCCAGGCATAGTGGCATACGCCTGTAATCCCAGCTCCTCAGGAGGCTGAGGCACAAGAATCATTTGAGCCTAGGAGGCAGAGGTTTCAGTGAGTGGAAACAGCACCACTGAACTCCAGCTTGGGCAACAGAGTAAGATTCTGTCTCAAAAAAAAAAAAAAAAAGTATGTGGATTTAGGCCAGGCATGGTGGCTCACGCCTATAATCTCAGCACTTCTGGAGGCCAAGGCTGGAGGACTACTTGAGCCCAGGAGTTAGAGACCAGCCTAGGCAACAAGGTGAGACCTCATCTCTATAAAAAAGAAACAAGAGTACATGGATTTAGGTTAAATAGAATCTATTTCATAACTGTAGGATTATTTACTCTAAATGGCAATATGCTAAATCCTAGGTAAACATACATGGGTGTTCGCCTGTTTTTCAGACAGGTAGTAATTAAAATCTTCCATCCCAAATAACTTTTGGGGAAGAAAATTATCATCAAACAGTATTACCTTGCATATTATAGTGATAGTAATTAGGATCTTCTGATTCTTTCTTGACTGCGACAGCTTCTGCTTTCAATGAAATGCCTTAGAATGCAATGGAAATTATAAAATTGTATGTTAGGTTAAGCTTGCCAACAGAGACTATGACTAGCTAATATAAGTTGATTAATACAGCAATGTTACAATCAGCAAAGGAACTTGTAGCTCACTCACTATGAACAAATTTGACCTCTTGATACAAAAACAGAAATACTATAAATATAAAATAATGCACATATAGAAAACATACATTATGTATTTATGTATATTTATATAAAAATAATATCAATTGTAAAATCAATAGAAAAGGAAAGAAGGAAGGAGGGGACCAGGCACGGTGGCTCATGCCTGCAATACCAGTACTTTGGGAGGCCGAGGCGGGCAGATCACTTGAGGTCAGGAGTTCGAGACTAGCCTGGCCACCATGGTGAAACCCTGTCTCTACTAAAAATACAAAAATTAGCTGGGAGTGGTGGCAGACACCTGTAGCCGCAGCTACACGGGAGACTGAGGCAGGAGAACTGCTTGAACCCAGGAGGTGGAGGTTGCAGTGAGCTGAGATAGAGCCACTGCACTCCAGCCTAGTTAACAAAGCGAGACTCTGTCTCAAAAAAAAAAAGGAAGGAAGGCGAGGAGGATGAAGGAAGGCATCATGAAGGCGTGAGACCTTAGTTCTGGTTCTAGTCCTAGTTTTGGGAGATTTTCCCCTTCATGGTGGCTGAATATCCACATGCATTTACATGAAATGCTGTGAAGATTATTCTGTCATGGACCCTGAACTGACATGTCTAATCTTTTTTTTTTTTTTTTTTT